AAGAAAAAAAAAAAAAAGGAAAGAGATATTATATTTAAAAATAAATAAAAAAAAAAAAAAAAAAAAAAAAAAAAAAAAAAAAAAAAAAAAATGTATGGCTCGCATGGCTCACACATTGGCTCGCATGACTCGCTGGCTCGCACTTTGGCACTACTCGAGGTCTGTAACAGTGTAGGCAAGGCCTTCCCAAATACATATAGGACTAGGCTTTGGCCCGGCACCCACTTTTTTTTTCAATATAGTGTAAATAAAAGACAAATAAAAACAGAATTTGAAGAAGTTCTTTGTTGGGCTACAATGCAAACTTATTACAGTAGTAGGTCTACTTTGTTTCTCAACTTGTCTAGTCGCCATTTCGACACTTTCGGCATTGCCCTTCTGTGTTGTCTCCAGACAAGTTTCCATTTACAAAGAAAATGCATATGGTCCCCTTCTTTTTCTGTTTTGTGGAGTATTCATGACATTACTAGTACTTCATGGTTTCGATCTTCCTTCCTTTGTTATCGATTAGACCTAGGCCTAAAGTAGTATAGTATGAGAAGACGACCAACCTCCGGCCAATGACAGTAGCGGGCTGTCGTTTTAAAAATAAAGTAATACGGCCGTTTTCTACCTTTATAGCGCAGTAAAAACGAAAAATCTCAGAACTGCAGCAAGACTGCAATTTACCGTTACAATTTTGAAAGAATAAAATATGGATCGTAGCTTTGTCAAACAATTGTTTGCTCTAGAGCCTCAACCGGAACAATTAACATGAAGATGAAATACCCAAACCAGGGGCGTACGGTGAAAAATCTAAGGTGGTGGGGGAGGGGTCGAAACGAAAGCGCAGGGGGAAGCCGAACTCGGAGCAATTGCGAAGCTTTCGGAATTTGCGGGGTGAGTTATTTGTGAGTGAAGCGAGCATATTTAAAGGGGTCGACCGCAGCCGTCGACCCCCCCCCCCCACGGTACGCCCCTGCAAACCAAAGAAAAGGTGGTGTCTAGACTTATTTTGGATACTAGAAAAACTAGTTAGCATTTTGTTTGCTTGTCGAGCGTGAAGGTGCGCGAGAGGAAGCAAGCAATCGCACATTCGGTTTAGTGACAGCAGGTTGTACCCTGGGGAAATCTTGAAAATAAGCGGTAAGTTTTGTAGGGCCTGGTATGCCTAAATTATTAAATACCATAGGGCCTACTACTACTACTACAACTAGGCCTAGGCTATTTGTTTGTATTATTTAATTATTGTTTTTATCTTTTTAAACCATATGATCCGGTCAGTCCAACTCGATGCTGCTGGGATGGAGGGGCTCTCTCCATTAAATAATAATAGTAGGCCTAGGCCTGGCCCCCCCCTAGGCTAGACCTAGGCCTAGGCCTACTTTATATGAGGAGCTGGGCCTTTAATTTTTAAATAATAATAATAACGATTCATACAAATATAAAGGTCTTCATACTGTACCTAACTCTTCACGTTACGTAGGCCTAGGCTACAATGATTTATCATTCTGCTGTGAGGCCTACAGTAGGGGACACTTTATCCAAAATATTCTGATGAAAAAGTCATTTGTTGTGGACTTAGTCTAAGCCTAGACCTATTTATTTATGGGTCCAGGGCCTAGGCCTATGATGATAGATTTCCATAGAATTAATACAGTATTTTTAGTAGTTCCATAGTACTTGAGAAGTTTGCAATAATAATAAAAATAATATTGTGCAGTGAAGAGTTATGAAGACCTTACATTTTTAATTTGTTGTTCAAAATGTTATTATTTTAGGGCCCAACTTGGCAACAGTAGTAGCAGTAGCACTGTACTAAAGTAGTAACCATTATGGGAAATTCCATGTTGAGTCTGGCAGCAGGGAGGTGCTATACTTGAGACACAACACAAGGCAATTTTATTTATTGTACATGTTCAAAGGCTGTTGCATAGTCAATATATTCAACAAACTGAAAATACTCTAAATTTTAAATGTAAAAAAATAACTTGTGTTTTAACAGGCTATTTAACAAAATTTTCTGTACATTATTTGTATCCAGTAATAAAAAACATTGTGTTGCATTTCTTATTTAGGTATACGAAGAACCGAGAGATGAAGTTGAAACCCTTAAGAAGAGAGTTAAAGAATTGGAGGGACAAATTGTTACAAATCCCCCGACAACATTCAGTGTTGGTAAGAATGTATTTTTTAAATGTTGGCATAAGAATACGGTTTTCATCCTTGGTATCTAGATCTGCATTGGTGCCATTCAAGAAGTGAATTTCTGAGACTCGGTCATCATTACCCATTCATTCACCGCCCATTCCTTCCACCACCCATTCCTTCATCCATTTCTTCACCACCTATTCCTTCAACCATTTCTTCACCACCCATTCCTTCATCCATTTCTTCACCAGTTCCTACTTCAGATGCATACTTAAAAATAACATTAAGGTAAAACCATAACAGGCATTGTTTTGTTTTGTTTTTTTGTTTTTTTTTTGCTAATATTATAAAGAAACATATTTCATTTCAATAACAACAGCCATTTAACAAACAGTATGGTATATACATACACATTTACATACAAGAATATTTGTCCATATTCATTAAATTAAGTAGGCCTATGTTTGGTTTTTCCAAGTAACTTTCTACTGTACCTTCCTTATTTCTTTATAGGACAACATATGTTGAGAGCTATACTACACAGTGTATTATCATGTCCTTTATTCAAACACTGTATTTACCTTTCATTGATGATTGATATATAATTAGCAGTGTTAATGGCTACCTTTATTATTATTATATATAATATTGTTACATATTATATGCTATTATTTGTATCTGTTTGTGTAATAGAATGTATCTGATGGTTATTCGAATCTGTTTACCAGAAAGCCTGTCATCTAATGGTTATGACGCTCGCATTCTCAGCGAGAGGTCACAGATTCGAATCCTGTCAAAGGCATTTTATTGCACAATTTCTTTATTTCTTCATAGGAAAACATTCATTGAGAGCTATGATACATGGTGTGCTATCATGATCTTTATTCGAACACTGTATTTACCTTTCTTTGATATATATATACTGTCTCTTATACACATCTAGATGTGTATAAGAGACAGCACTTTACCCAGGTGGCAAACCTATTGTGACAGATATAGTAAAGCAAAGGACTTTCAGTCAAGGCAAGACGAAAGAAAGTCTGTTATATGCCTTATTGGTAGCAGTGTTTAGTGAAGAGAGTCTGGCCAGGGGAAAACCATGCAGCGTCAGAAATGCTGTGAAAAAGCAATGTGACAACACACAACCTCTGGATCCACTTAAACTCCATGAAATAAAAGGTAATAGGTATATTCATTGTTTGTAATGTATTCTTTCTGTTTTATCTTTATATGCTATGTCTGTTTTCAACTTCCATCATCTTCAAAACTACTGTCCATACTCTCCAAACCAATACCTTTTGGTCTCCTGTATTTTCCTTACACTACCATCAACAGGCCCCTACGCTGGGTTGTGAGGGAGGGTTCTTTTTCCAGTAATAATAATAATAATGTAGTTTTATATAGCGCACAAATCCATCTAATGTAAGATGCTCAGGGCGCTTGAAATGTGGACTAGAAACTCGATCAGTAACACAGATTAAACTTGGCAGGGGCCCGTACTGGCCTGTTTAAATAACGATTATCGACTTCATGTTCCTGTGTTTTTTTTTAGTTACAAGTATAAAATGAACAGAAGCAAACAGCTTCTGCATGCTTTGAACATTATATAATATATATATTATAGAGTCAGTATTTTAACTTTCAGAGTGTGTGCTTCGACGATTTCGTTTATCATCAGGTCAAAGCTGCATGACGCAACAAGAATTTAATTCAAAAATAAATCAGAAATGCGCAACTGTGAGGCGTGCGAGGAAAAACAAGTCCTCTTAAGATAAGTCCACAGTGGCATTCAACAATATTTTGTGAAACTGATTATTAGCAACCCTCAATATGTACAGTACAGATCCTGTGATAAAGTCATTCTACATATTGATTTGACTATGTTAACAACTCATACTGTATGTACAGTAAAGAAATAAAATTTATTTCATCTAGAACCATTATGTATTGACCATGTAAGCAACCAATACCAATGAAAAGTTGAAAATTTGTTGAAAAGTTATAAAATTGACAATTTGTTGAAAAAGTATAAAGTTGACAATTTGTTGAAAATTTGAAAAAAAAAACAATAAAAAAAATATATAGCTTGATTAGTATTTTGTATGTGTATAATTATTGAATTTGTATTTTAAGGAATGTAGAATTGATTTAAAACAAAGGCAGTAATCATGCATTTTGACTTGGTTTTTGCAGGAAATATAATCTTGCAGGAGCACAAGTGGCCAAATTTATCTTGCAAAATCCTGTTTCGAAATTAGCTTGCAAGGCATGTTCGCAAGCTTGCAAAAGCCTACATAATGGGGCTTCTGCAAGCATACGGAGGCTATTCGCAAGCTTGCGGAAGCTGTATTTGCAAGCTTGCAGAAGCTTGCAAGGCCTTCGCAAGCTTGTGAAAGCCATGTTCACAAGCCATTGCTATATACAGCAAATGCTATATTTGCAAGCTTGCAGAATCTAATTTACATATTTGGAACCCTGCAAGCTTGCATGCAAGGTTGCACGTAAGCTTGCGGCAAGCATACCTACTGCAAGCTTGTGCGCAAGTTAGTACAGATTTCTATAAGGGTAGTGATCAACAAGCAGTCTATTAGCTCCTGGTCAAGTAGGGACGTCCCTTTAGCACAGCGGTATAATCTACTGGCTTTTACATAAGCACACACTAATATGTATGCTAATTTGCTTTTGTTTTTAGGCAGCAGGCACATCCACAATAGATGATAACATCACTACAGATACTGAAATGTGTGAGACATCTATTCAGGTATGTATTAATGTTAAAGTAGACTAATTTTATTTATACCAATTATACTTCATTTACTTATTATATTTTTATAACTTTGTAATAACCACACACTAATATGTATGCTAATTTGCTTTTGTTTTAGGCATTAGACACATCCACCATGGACACTGATTGTGAAGTCAATATGGTGTGCATCATTTACAGGACAAGTCAAGGTGACTCACTGAAAATGTTTGTGGAAAGAACATGGTGTTTATTCAAGAGAGCAGCAGAGTTGAGACTTGCACTAAAGTCGGATCGCTACAGAGATATAACTACAGAAGTCAATTTGCAGCAACATTCAGACAATGCAAGGTACCACTCGAAATGCTACAGAAAGTACACGGCCATTAAAAGGCCATCAAGTGGTTCCCAGAAGGAATCTCCACCAAAGAAGCCAAAAACCCGGCGCAGAAGTTTGATGCCACCATCAGATGAGAAAGGGTTATTGAAGGGATCCTGCATATTTTGTATTTTGCGATGAAAAACCATCAACCAAAAGGAGGAGCCATTGTCAGATTGTCCTATGAAAGATGGTTGTGATGCCATATTTAAAGCAGCTCCAAAAAGTAGCAATGAGCGGGTGAAGGTTTTTGTTCAAAGTGGGGTTGATTTAATTGCTAAAGAAGCCCAATGTCACAAATCATGCCGTTGAGAGTTTTTAAAGAAGTTGATGGAGCCGATCCAAAAACTGAAACGGTTTCAAATAGGCAACTGCATTCCATTACCTTTGGAACAATATCAGCCCTAATTGAGATCGATGTCATTGGGAATTGCAAAGTGATGTTGTCTGCTTACACATCACAGGCATTATTGAAGAAGAATAAAGGACAAATTTGGGGACAAGATTTCAATATCTATGTACAACCATCGACAAGGAAATTTTGTATAAAATTCTAGCATGTCTGATGCTGATGCTAGAGCAAGCCTCCATAACGATGATAAGAACCTACATGTGATTTGTACTGCAGCACTCCAGCTTCGAGCCACAATGAAGACGATGCCAAAAACTCTAACACCGATACCAACATCTGTAGAGGCACTAAATGCATGTTCACTTGACCTGCCAGAAGAAATTGTGCTGTTTTACAAAACACTACTCTGTGGCCTTCGTGAACCTTCTGGAGAAGCAGTAAATATTAAAGTGCTAGGCATGTCATCAGATGCAGTGTATAACATATCAAAGGGTTCTGTATGGCCTTGGAAACACACAGTACTTGGATTGGGTCTAGGGACTTTAACTGGTTCAAAATTAATCCTACATATATATTGAATCATCTGGGACACAGCCCGAGCTACAACGAAGTCAAGTCATTAGAGACCGAGTTTGCATTTTCGGCTAAGGCAAATGATCAAGATGCTCCTGACGGTGTTGAAATGTTTTCCAACCATGGCACAGGGCTTGCATGGGATAATTATGATGTTAATATGGATACAATTGATGGGAAAGACACCCTCCATGCTACAGGTGGGATCTGCTACCAGAACACACAAGAGGCCAACTCAAACCAAGCAGATGACATGCCAAGTGTTTCTAATATCAGATGTGGGAAGAAAAGAAGGCAGTTTGATGGAAAAGAACGTGAAATCGAGCCATATTACAAGCAACTAAAAAAAGCCCAATTTGACTTATCAGTACCAAACAATTATCAGGAAACAACAAAGAGCCTTACATCACTTCATACAGTTGATTTCTACTGGTTGCTTCTGTCCGAAGTTGATAAGCCATTGCCACTTTTTCCTGGATTTTATTCACAGTTCGTCGATGACCTACCACAACATAAAATTATGTACATGGATCCAATATCGGCCCCACCAACCATAAACAATGTTGTTCTTGAAACCATTAAAAGTATGAACGTCGCCATTGAAACTCGTCAAGAATATGGTGTTGTTACCTACGACCTGGCTGTGGCTCTCAAGGCATACTCGATCCAGGCATTAGAAGCACCTCTGTTCGATAAGCTTCTCATCTTGCTTGGAAACTTCCATTTGGAGTTGGCCTTCTATGGTGCTATTGGGATATTTATAGATGAAAGCAGTGCCGAATACCTGTTGACAGTGTAAATGCTGTCGCATATTGGTTTTTTCTATTTTGCTGCCCTCTCTAAAGTGTTGGCAAGGTAACGGGCACTACGCTACTGCAGGAAAGGAATGTTCTAGAACCACCGAATGCAAGCTGCTAGAGAAATATTCGTATAAACAAAGATTACTGTTTAGAATAGTTTTATAAACACTGTTGAAGGTTAGTTAAAGTTACCATTTATATGTTACATATAATACTTGTTGATTAGTCCAGTATTGATGGAATAAGTTATGTTATATATGCTTCTAGGCCTGGTGTTTTCCCAGGTATGATATAGTCCTAGGGCCTATGCTGCTAGTTAACGATCATAATACACGAAGCTCTAACTGCGTCGTATGCACGTTCAATTCAGTTGTAATACCATGATAACTATTTTTCTAATTGCTCAAATTTATCTGCTGATAACATCATAACAGTCATTAAGACGTCGACTAGATGAAAGAAGAATATTTGGTGATTCCATTGATTCATGTTATAATATTACCATAGGCGGATACGATGCTATGTAGGTTGTTTAAATTAAGTAATCATCGTAAAAATATGATCATCATTAAGTTGCGAGGATTCGCCACTGCGGTGGTTCGTCACACTTGAGTGCGTGAGGGTAGAGCTGCTACAGGTAAATAGCTTGTTGATACGTTCACGTTTTACATGTATAACACTGACAGTTTATATGATTGTTTAATGGTTTTTATCTTTGTGGCTATATGATTGGTGAATGTTTTCTTTTGTGTTTTACTTAGCAGAACAAGTTCACCAGGCTATGTACCCACACTAAGTTTACGTTTGTACATGGTATCAATATTCAGATGTTTGAGATGAATAAATGACCACTACTTTCAGTAAACCTAAGGGTACGAAGATTTTGTTATTGGAGTGTTAGCACATGACACAAAAAATCTTAAATTTGGCCCAACTGCCCAATACTGGAGCATGTATATCCGTATGGTAAACAGAATCCACAGGAATTTCATGAGAGCCTTGCGTACCAACGACGTCAATGCCTACATCAACACATTCCATGATATGATTGATATTTTTTTGGACTCAATCGACCAAACTATGCACGGTGGGGTGTGCTGTTTCTCAACCAACTAATGAAAGCAACACCACAAAGTCGGGCAGTGCTCCAGGCAGGGGCCTATTCCATAAGGCGTACGGAAAAGTTTCTCATGATCTGCCATTGACTTAACATTGGAATAGACAGTCAATAGAGATGCAGCATCACCCATGAGGAATTGTAGGGTTTCACTACTCGTGGAATGCCATAAGAAGTGGTGCATCACATCAACCCAGCGTGGTATGTCTGTGACAGAGCTAAGACGTATGACAGGATTAGAAACTGTACAGCAACCAGCGACACAGCTACGGCCCAGTAAGATTAAGAAAGATAGTCGCCATAGAGATGCTTTGTACAATGCCATCACAGAATCATGTGACCCCTTCTCATCACCAGCATCAACATCTGATTGTCTCTTGAACATTGCTACAGGAAGAGCAGCTTCTCACGACAACCAACCGAAAAAGCAGGTAAATATTATAAAATTAAAATAAAGCTTTAATAGTTTCGTATTCTACTAAACTATTTTGCAGTTTAGTATTCTACTAAACTATTATAAATTTATTTTTGATAGTTTATTATTCTACTGTGTAAGTACTAAAAAGTAAATTTTGCAAATTTGTATTTTTGTGAAAGATTTTTTTTAAAAACTTTCATAGCAAATGCTAATTTCTTTAAATAGGGCCTAATTGTAAACATTTAATTGTCATTAAATTGCTATGCAATTATTATTAATAGTTTATTAGTGTACACATATAGATAAAAGCATTTTTCTTGTGTAACAGATATATCTAGCTACTTGAACTTAAAATTGATTTAAAGGATAATTGATATCTTCACAATTTTTTTAGCCTTATTGTACTCTAATTATTTCAAAACTGTGGATGCGATACCATCTGCCCCAGAGATTTAATACAGAGTTTATTGTACTTTTTTCCTCAAATCTCTATTCGCAAAACCAAGTTACACAACACAAAGTGAGCATAACTTCCCACAACAAAAGAGTAAAAAAATAATATCTTTTGGTCAACCATATGAAATAAATGACTACAAAGTATATTTTATCTTTTTGTTTGAATTTTTCATTATTGCTGCATCATGAGACAATTTTTCTTTGCTACTTGCAGATCTTCAGATATTCATTTGCAAGCCTATCCAATGTTGGTACATTTGAATTTTATTCACAACCATCCAATCTTTTGTGCTGACGCCTTAAGACACCGTGATGTATCAGAAGCTGTGTAGAAGAAGTTTTTGGATATGTTTGCAGTGGGATATTCACCATCAGCTGCCCTCCATGCACACAAGTATGATCTACAAGACAGACATGGGGACAATTATGTTCTAGTTGCTGCTGACCGCCGAGAATGCCCTGATCAACAGTGGTGCTACCAGTAAGTTAAACTAATTTTTTTTCCTGTTTATTGAGGTTTTTTTCTTCTGTTGTTTATTGAGGTTTAAAGATACTGTACATTAATTAAAAGACCATTGATTTAAAAAATATTCACTAAAATGGATTGGATAAAATTTAAAAATAAATTAAAGTAAAAAAAGCAGGGTGAACAACATAAAATACACAGATCAATTTATCTGAATATAAATAAAATCTATACCGTAATAAAATCTTCATTACCTGTTTTTATTGTGCCAATAAATAATGTAGTGCAACTGTTTTAAAAAACTTTTTTTTTACAATTCCAGTATAAAGATTCTACAGGAAATTAATAATTTACATAATAGTAAGAATCATTCAATAAATGGTGGCAAGAATAATTCAATAAATGTCTCTTAAGCTTATTGAACTACTATGTTTTTTGTGATTTTAACATTATTATGTATTTAGACATAATACAGGAGTTAAATGAAAAAAAGAAAAAAGTATTTTCATTACTGTAATGCAGTTTCTTAACTATTTCAACCCTATGCACATGATATTTGTCTGAGTTGGGTGTGAAAAAAAATGTTCTTTTAATTGAAATAAACCTGTCCATACAAAAATATATGTTTTAAAGGTAAAAATAAATGTTAATATTTAATTAGAAAGACTCATACTGATGTAATTTACTGTACTAGGAAACATAGATTTTGTCAGCAGAAAGCAGATTTTTTTTTTTTTTTGGGGGGGGGGGGGGGGGTAGGGGTGGTTGGTGGTGAGTACTTATGACAATAAACAAAAGGTAGTTGTTCGGGGATACCTGCTTGATTATACCAGGTAACTGCAGTACAGTGTATATTTAGTCTACTTAAATCTTAAAAATGAATACTGTAATTTAGTTGTTCAGTCTTTAAATATTCAATAGTAATGTAATTTACTGTATCACATAATTTACCGTATATTTTTCATTTAGGTTGTACTACAAAATGTAATAAGGAAAACTATGGAGAATATGATGGCGAAGCAATGCTCAGTGACCTTGAGGCAAAGATTCAGCAAGTTTATGAAACAAATAATGAAGAACTTGCCAAGATAAAGCGAGTTGGTGAAAATGTGGTTGTTGCCATATGTACACCACTGATGAAACGTGTCCACAGAAATATAAAACAGAGTGGTGAACTTGCTTTTATTGATTCTTTGGGTGGTGTAGACCGTCATGGCTGTCGTATTTTTGTGATTCTGACACATAGTTGTGCAGGAGGTCTTCCATTAGGTTTACTTATCACCACATCGGAAACTGAAGAGGTAATAACAGAGGGCCTTAATCTTCTTAAGCAGGTTTTGCCTACCGATGATTTCAGTGGTAATCCAGAAAAAGGACCATCTGTTTTCATGACAGATGACTGTGATGCTGAGAGAAAGGCGATTGCAAATGTGTATCCTCAGTCCGTAGCTGTTCTTTGCACATTCTACATTTTGCAGGCTATGTGGAGGTACTTATGGGATAGCAAACACAAGATTAAGAAAGGCAATAGGCCACGATTATTAGGCATGGTTAAGGCGATCCTGTATGCCCCCTCAGAAGCTCAGATGCATGCTCTATATGAAGAGTTAATAAGTGATGTTAGGGGAAATATTTATCCACGGTTTGTAGACCATATAAACAAATTATATGAAAGACGTGACAAATGGGCTTTGTGTTACCGTTCCAATCTACCAATGCGCTCAAACAACACTAACAACTACTGTGAGGCAGCAATGCGGATTTTGAAAGACCATGTATTCCAACGAACTAAGGCTTTCAATATGGTTCAGCTGTTTGATTTTCTTTTAACGAGGGTCGAAGTGCACTATGAACGGTGATTAATTGATGTTGCCAACAATAGGTTGGAAAAGGCTGTTGCATTGAGATATGCTTCAGTTAGTGGATGGCAGCTCACCAAAGATAATATTATTCAAACTGATGCAAACTCATTTGAGGTACCATCACAAAACACAGAAGGTGTAACCTACAGCGTAAACATGGACACTGCAACATGCTCATGTGTTGTTGGTGGGCCATGCAAACATCAACACATTGTTTATAAGTACTTTTCTATCAACAATATCAACACTAGTCCAGTAAACAGTCCATCACTTAGAAAAATATTTTACACCATTGCCACAGGATGCAAAATGCACGATCAATGGTTTTCATCGTTGAAATCTGGTGAAAGTGAAAATGCTAACTCTGCAGTGGATCATGAACATGTGTCTCCCTTGCCTGATGCAGATGCTTGTTTGAGTGACAGCAATACTCAACCCTCAATGGATGTAGGCTCTCATCATTCATCTGACATAGACACTGATCTTTCAACTAACATATCACTTTTAAGGCAGCATGAGGAACAAGAACAACATTTCATAGAACTCCTAAAGGAAAAGGAACTTAAACATCTTTTGTGATGCAGTATCCTGCTCTTTCAACAGTTTAAGCAAAATAAGACAGATGCTGCATTGATTTCAGCTCTTCAAACTTTTGGTAAATATTCTGGTGAGAGGATGGTGAACAACAAGTACCCAAAAAGATTAGGAAAATTGATTGGAGTGCAACCTACAGCTGTGGCACGCAGAAAATCTTCACTTGGTGGACATAGAACTATTGGATCTGGGCGTCCATTAAAGCGAAAACTGTCCACAGAGGATACCAATTCAAAGCTTATAGCAAAAAAAAAAGTTAGGAGAGTAGCCCCCCCACAAACTGTCAGCATGTGTAAAATCAAATGTTTCTTTGGGAAAGACCCATTCTGCAAAAAAGTGAGTTAGACGGTATATGTACACAGTACATAAATGTCTCCCTCCAATTAAAGACCCTCTAAATAAGTCTCTATCCACTTCTTTGCTGCCCCAATGAACGCCAAAATTGCAGTGTCATTAGTTACAGTAATAATGGCCTAATTTAAGACCAATGCTGTAAAACCAACACATGAAAAACTGAATCACAAAAGTGGTGTTTAATTGGAGGGAGACTGATTGTATTTCAAAAAATTGTACAGTAAAATATGCATTATATTTCTATTTTAATGATATAAAACAAATTTCAGATTACAGAAAGGCAACATCAGAATGATCACAATATATAGGGCGTACTGATTGTCATGATTAACTTTTATTGAACAATGGACAAGAAAATGATGATTGTGTTTTAATAACAGTTTACTGGATATACTAGTTTAATAAAGTGGTCTTTATATGAATAGAATATGTATTACAGCTCCATATTTCTATACTGTAGGCAACGCATTTTATTGGTAACATTTAACATTGAAATATTGCAGTTATATTTTGTAATTTAGCTCTATGATATACAGTACTTTACATGAAAAAAAAACTAGAAAAAGTTTAAATTTTCTTTTAAATAACTACTAGAG